ATAAAGTGCAATAAGATGAGGCATGCCTGGAATTCTCAAAGGTCCTATGGCTATCATCACTATTTTAGTAATGAGAAAGCCAGGCTTGGAACAGCAGAGTAAACAATCTATGACCACACAGCCAATAAGCTATAACCAAGTTGATATTTGAATTCAAATCTCCTTTTAATATAAAGGTGTACTCTCAATTTATTAAGCTATATTACTCCCCTATATAACTCACTGAGTCTGGTAGCTATGCGATGTCTAATTAATCAGCCTGCTTACAGAAATTAGAATCGACATCAGCATAGGAAATTATCCCTTTGATTTTTTAACTGTACTTCAATTACATAAAGGCGACCTGGTGGCACAGAGGTATGAGTTGGGCTGGTAACTGCAAGGTCAGAAGTTTGAAACCACTAGCTGCTAGAGAAGAAGTTTTCTATTCCTGCAAAGAGTTATAGTCCCAGAAACCCAAAGGAGCTGTTCTACTCCGACCTAAAGGGTTGTGATGAGCCAATGGCAGTGAGAGTGAGTGTTCAATTATACTGAAGGAAAAAGAGAACAGTTTGCTGTTCCCATGTTTTTAAAAATTGGCTATGAAAAGTAACATTTAAAAACATAACCAATATGTTTGTTTTCCATTCAAATATTTTATTTTTAAAAGTTCCAAAGCAATAAGAATAATAAGATGATCAAATGTACTCTTCACCAAGGTTCACCGCATGACATTTTGGTACAAGTGTGCTCTTGCTTTCTCTCACAATGTGTGTGTGTGTGTGTGTGTCAAGAGTGCAGGTCAGGTGCCTTGGAGAATGTCTTAGAATCTGAATTTGTCCATTTTCTCATGATTGAATTCAGGTTACTATTTTTTGTAAGACAGTTGTATAAGCAGTCATGTATCCTTCCCACTGCTATTATATAGAAAGGCACATAACAGCAGCTTGTACTCATTGGTTGCACTAAGTCTGAACAAAAGTACCTTATCTTCTCTATAAATTATATGCTTGTTATCTGTGGACAGTATTTTGAAATCTCATGAATATCCTCTGCTGCATCTAACGGTTTCAGCACTCACTGATGAGTCATGCACGTATCAATTACTCACTGGTGGTTGCAAACTGCTAACTTTCTAATTCTATCAATCTTTCCAGATGCATTTGCTGGAATTCTTCTGTAAAGAAGAGTTTTTCCTTCCTTTCACTCACCACTGTCTGAACAGCCTCCATAATTTCTTAATATTAATCTCAACAAACTATATTTAGTCATTGACTTCAAGTGTAAACAAGTAATTTAAAAGTGCACTCTTCTAATGAGGAAACACTTCTAGGGAGAAAGAGAACTCACATGGCAGCTAAGCATTTAGGTTCTTTAGCAGGTTAATGGTGAAAATCACAAATGAAATTGCTTTTCCTCCTGCTACCAACGACAGGTTTGACACAGGTTTGAGCTGTAATGACTGACAAAAATAAAACCGTACTTATATCTCAGGAGCTCTGGTGGTGTAGTGATTACACCTTGGGCTGTGATCTGCACGGTCCTCAGTTTGAAACCACTAGCGCTCCGAGTGAGAAAGGCAACACTTTCTACTTGCATAAAGAATTACAGACTCTGAAACTCACACGGGGCAGTTCTATGCTGTCCTATAGGGTTGCTGTGAGTCGGCATCGACTCAATGGCAGCGAGAGTTTTGGATGGGGACTTCTATTTTCAGGAGCACTGGTGGTGCTGTGGGATAGGCACTGGGCAGCTAACCACAAGCTTGAGGGTTTCAAACCCACTGGCCACTCCTTAGGAGAAAGATGAAGCTGTTTGCTCCCATAAAGATTCATAGTCTCAGAGACCTTATACAGGGTCACTAGGTGTCAGAATTGACTCAATGGCTGTGTTTTCTGTTTGTTTGTTTTGTTTATTTTTTACTAGTAGTTGTGTTTTACATGAAATCAGGCAAAGATGAGTAGAAAGGAAGAATGGAATCCATCTGAAAATAGCATTGAACAATCTTGGCTAAAGACTAAACATGCTGTCCAGAGATGTGTACACTTTCAAGAAGCAACTTTAAAATGTTAGTTTGAAAAATTACCAAAGGACGTTGTTCAAGCGGTTTTGGGATTCACATACTGAGGTCTAGTAGAGGCTCCAGAATTTTACCAGGGATTTTTTTTTATCACATCCTAACATTATTAAAATCTGGCATTGGGAAGGGTGAGGCAGAGTCAGCTGTCCTTAGCTTGCTAAACAGAGAAGCTAAGCAAAGGTGGAAATCCTAATTCTAAGGCAAAACAAATTATTTTGAGGGTCACAGTATGAGTCCAGTTGAAATTGCAGAGTGAAACAAAAGTGAAAAAGAGCGATTACTTATTACCTTTAGCTTTCCTGTAGACAGGTCTACTCTAAATGACATCAGACCGTAGTCATACCTCTGAATCATTCTACCTTGTGTTATAAGAATTTGTTAATAAGTTAAAAAGTACGTTACCTTATATGAAGCTGATTGTATCTATCATCCCCAGATGGATTTTTAATAGCTACAGCTAACTTCTTCCATCCTTCTTGAGGGTCAATATAATCGGACAGCTTTCTAATTATTCCAAAAGTGAGGCAGCGCACATATGTTGATGGTGTTATGGGTTTGCTCATCTTCTATTTCTAAAATATGGAAAATTCTCATGAAAGGCAGACAGTAGCACGAGGGATGGCATCTGT